ACCTGCCATTGCATAAGGATGATTCATTATATATAACATTTACCAAACATTAACATTTAAATACATGTACAAAAGGAAAGGGAGGGTCCACCAGGGCACCCGTTTGAAGTGATTTGGACGGGGAGAGTGGGAATGCCAACTCCTTGTTGATAACATTTCATGGATAAAAGGCGGCTCTTCTCCCACTAATTGGGGCATCTGCCTGTTTGGGGGCTCGTCTTTTTGACCAATTATAGAAGGAGATTCTTTATTGTCCCGTAGATGCGTATAGGCGTCTTTGCCTATCGATCCACCCAACCCGTTTTTGGCCATTAATACAGCGACGTCTTGAAGACAATCAGAGGTTATTAAGCATGATCAAGACAAACAGATAAGAGAGTCCACTGCTATCGAACTTAGTTTCCGTGTTACAATGGGTGGTAAAACACCATCATGCAACATCGATATTGTGTAGAAGTAACCTATCATATCTGCAAAATTTCCGTCTGTTGTGTTATTGCATCCGTATTTTTGTGCATTCTAGCATATTTGCGACTACGAAACATGGCGAACATGGCATTTTCACGCAAAGATTTACATTTGGTTACGGGATTTTTTGGGCTACCCAATAAGGTAAAAACCGCCATGTTTCACGCATCCAGTAACGTCTGCTTGTGGGATTTATCAATAGAAGTAAAGACTTACAGAAGCTGCTTAGACGAGAATTGCGATTGCGATGTTGAAGAATATTTTTTTGATGTTTTCTCTTGGGAGAGTTTGTAAGATTTATTGATGTGGTAGTATTTCCCTGGGTTTCCTTTTCCACGATATTAATTTCATTGACATTTAATCAATAGGCGTCATTCCAAAGACATTCTGCAGAGAACTCCTTCGCAATTTTGGAAAGTATTCTTAAGGACTTCCGTTGAGAATTTCAAATTAGTTTTGAAAAGTATTTAATAAGCTTTGAGAGGAGAAAATCAGGTGAAGTTTTTCGAATATTCCAAGTGTATTATGAATAAATGGTAATTATAAGGAGAATTTCATTTGGAATGTAACGAAAAGCCCACGAATAATTCAAAGGAAATCTAAGCAAGGTACTCTGAAGACAATTCATATTACAATTCCTAGGGTCACAATTTGAGGAAACTTCAAAGCTGCAAAGTTTAGATAAGAGAATTGTGGTAATAAATCCTAGAAAATCTGAATATAAAAACAGTCCCAATGGAACTCTAAAGACAACATTTTTTTTGTAGAACATACCGCGGTGAGATTGATAAGAGAATGCTGAATTCTGTCTCTTAGAATTGTGTGAGGGATGCAAAGAGAATTCCTAGGAAATTTTGAAAGTTAACCTGTGAATATGTGCAACGAAAGTGTTAAGGTACATAAAATATAGTTTAAAGTTTACCCTTAACAGTTTTATTTTTCTAAAGAATTACCTAAACAATTTTATTGCATGGAAGTTTAGAGGTTGAACGAATGTTTATGATTTTGGGACTTGATTATTGTATTTTAAACATTCTGGTACTGAGAGTTTTAAGGACTTAAACCTGAATTTTGTTGCGATACGCTGAGCATAGATAAAAATAATTTAAAGGTAGCAGTTAGAAGAAGAAATATGAGGTATTCTGCCTGAAACAATCAAAAAAACATTCACAACTCACAACATTATTTGAAGTACGAGATATCTAAAAGCTATTTGAGAATACTAAGTTTAAAAAAATCCATACATTTGAATTAAAAAAATTAAGGAATCTGAAACTTTTGAAAAATGTGTTTAATATCAGAATCAGGGGGCGACCCCAGCGTAGTGGTAGCATCTATACCTCTCATGCCAAAGTCACGAGTTCAAATCGCACCCCCGAACAAGTCACGAATAACCCAAGAGCGTTAAAGTGTCTAAAATAAAAAAAAATAAGGAATTAGAATTAGAAGTTGATAAAATCTGTGTCCTGGAATTAGCTTAAGTTTATAATTCTGGATATATCGCCCCTTCTATTAAGAATCCTGGTTAATTTTTTCTTTGGTTTTTTTTTTGTCAGTATTAGCTCAGCCGATAAAGGCGCAGCTATAAATCAAGACCATGATGGAGGCGGTTGGGTTTCGATTTTCGGTCCAGTCTACGAATGTTTCGAGTTGAAAAATGTGTCGACTTTCCTGGGCATAGAGTATGATTGTACTTGCCACAGCCGAAATTCCCTGATTGGGCTGGGCCACCACCTCGGCCCAACTATCGAATTCAGTTCGTTAGTTGGGTAAACTGACAGAAGGCACAAATTGGTTAGGGGATATGCGCATCCTTTGTTGTGGTTCAGAAGATTTAACAAAAACCACTTGGGATTGAAGTAGGATAAACGCTTCTATAGTTGTATGGAGTCTCCATACACAACTATTGGAACCTAACGCTTCAACGTACCGCAACGATAGGAGCGTTTACTCTAAGTTGCTTGAATATGAGTGGAAAAAGTAAAACACTTATGTGCTTAATGTATGTTTTTGTTTTCTTCTACACGAGAACAAATCCAATCTCCGAATTCAGAAAAAATATTCATGATTTCATGAATTTGTGTTTTTTTTTCATGTTTTCATGTTATGAAAATACACCATGAGCTACTTTTATGTAACGCAACCAGGCCTGCTTCCACTCAATTGCTATAAAAAAAATGATTTTCAGTATTTTGGAATCATTAGTCATTAGATGTTGAGAGCTGGCCGAATGTCCCAGTGGGGACGTAATAAAACCAAAGAAGAGAATCTGCTACGCCACGTAAATTCCAATAACCGACACCAGCGAGGCGACTCCACTTGGACCCTATATATCCCCATGATGAGTCGGAACCAACGTCTTCTTCCTTCCTAAAGAAGATATGACCAGAGAATATCTCAACAACAATGGCGGCCACTGAGGTGCGATAGCAATCCACTCACTCAACCACCGGCGCTGTCTAAACTTTAAACCTTTTTTTCAATCTGGATAGATAGGGACATCATTTATTAAAAATCTAAGGGCACAGTAAACCCTTACTACGCCTATTGTGGACTATTTTCCTGAAGATTTTAGAACATGTTTGGATGTGGCGAATGGGCTCAGGATACTCTATATGACTGCAAAACCGTAGTTTTATAAATGATTGCGCACAACATGATCATGATCATGATCAAAAAACAGGCACAAACCATCACGTATAATGTGTCTATTCATTATACGTGATGGTTTGTGTCTGTTTTTTTACTGAAAATTTGAAAAGTTACTCCTAAATAGTAATCCGGAGCCACAATAGTGCGTCAGTGTCAGCGTTGACGATGGGGTTCATTCGTCAAATGAAATCAGTTACATCAGTGTTGGAAAAATATCAAAAAATCAAATCTCACCAACGCCCAAGATCACGCTTGATTTTCGTGGACAAAATCAACAAGCAAACAACTGCGGTTGATTTTGCAAGCTGTGATCGCAGCTCGGAATATCAAGCTAACAAAACTCACCAGCTGCAAATCTCAGCAAACTGTGGTGAGATTGAGTTTCATAATTTGTGCTTTACACCCGAATGCAACCGAAACTTCCATAATTGCTGGCAGCAGTCGCTTCGTGTCTGCCATTGGTGAAGAGTAAAAAGAGATAGCATACTATACTTTCTCTTTCTAAGTAAATGATGTGCAACGGAATCATTTTTGTTTTTTTTTTTCCTTTGGTTTGTTTTTTCCGTCGATCTTGTTTTCCGTGCTGAGCACCAATGCTACCGACGTGCCAGGAAGGCAGCTCCCACACCTGGACCCTACCTATCGGCCCATCAACTCATGAACCGGGGACCAACGGCTTTACTTCCCATCCGAAGGAAGGCGTGATCAGAGATGTTATGCCTCAGAACATCCCGGCGGCGCCGACTGGGATTGAACCCAGGCCTGTTGGGGTGAGAGGTAATCACGCTTACCACTACACCACCGGCGCCGTTAGAATCATTTTTGTGTCGAGTCAACTCTCAGCTTGATTTTTGCACGTTGTGAATAGTCTCGCAATATCAAAGGAGCTTGTAAAATCAATATCAAGCATGATATTTTGTTCCAATATCACGCGTGATATTGCGTGCACATGAGAGCGGAAAAATATCAATTGATTTCTGATTTTGCCAACACTGGGTGTAACACATCTCAAGTTGCTATTCCACAAACATCTCCCCTTCACATCGACGTTGCGTTAGTCTTTCAATTTTGATAGCATTCAAATTTGACGCTGACGCTAACGATGACGCAGCATTCTGACTCCAGCTTTAAGACTTCTCTGACGTTTGTGAATTGCAAAAGTATTAGTGCAGAACTTTGGGTAAATTCAAAGGTTTTCTTGCACTAATACTTATAATTTACCCCGAGTTCTGCACTAATACTTGTGCATTTCACAAACGTCAGAGAAGTCTATTGCAGATTTGGAAAGTGCATTAAATTTCTTATAAGAATTGATCAACAGTTTCTAATTTAGCAGCGCCGGTGGTGTAATGTAAGCGTGATTACCTCTCATCCCAGCAGGCCTGGGTTCAATCTCAGTCGGCGCCGCCGGGATGTGCTGAGGCATAACATCTTTGATCACGCCTTCCTTCGGAAGGGAAGTAAAGCCATTGGTCCCCAGTTCATGAGTTGATGGGTCGAGGGTCCAGGTGTGGGAGCTGCCTCCCTGGTGATGCTCAGCACGGAAAACAAATTTAGGAAAAAAATAATAAAAAACATTTTCTGATTTGAGTAGCTCAAAGCGTTTTGGTGAATAGTTGTTGAGTAGTGTAGTTGAGAAGTGCAAAACGTTGTAACGTCACGCACAGTTGCATAGTTGCTAACCAAATAATTTTAAGCAACTCAAATCATAAACTTTTAGATAATTCTTTTTTCTTAATTAATTTATCACACTTTCCAAATCTGCAATAATAGTGCAGTGGAATTTATTTATTTATTTATTATAAATATATATAAAAATCGGATAATTGGAGAAGCTAACAGTTTATATTATTCTATCCAAATAATAATAAATAACTTACCCTTTTCGCCTGAATTCCGGCTTGGTTTGCATAGAAAACATTCCGCCATAGTATGATTGTAAACTCCACGCAGCTAGTTCATCGTTAGTTTTACTGAACACTCCGAAGCCTGGCAGCTGATTCATTAATTTCTCAAATAGCTCTATGCTTTCAATGTCCCTCGCAGGATATAAATCGTGAATGTCTTTCACGTCTCTAATTCGCAGGGACTGGATAGCAGCTTCATTCATTGACATTGGTTCCAACTCTAGATCCAATTCAGATGGGTTGTCCTGAACGTAGATATCCCCATAGATGCGGCCAACTAGTTGTCCATTAACTTTTGTGCGAAAGATGTTATCCATTTTGTTCATTATACCAACGTGTGTGAAGTTCATATAAATAGGTTCAGTCCAGTTAAAGAGAATGTCCTCACGTTCTATCATGCACATTTTATCAAGCTGATCTGGCGGACAAAATATACCAACACTTTCATAGATTTTATTATATGGCTACGAAAAAAAACATTTTTATTAGCATTCGGAACTACAGAATACCTAATAGTAATAGTAGCGATTGGTTTGGAATATTGCTATCACATATATCACAACCAAAGCGCAATCAACGTTTAAATTGTGAATCCACAATTATGCCTAGGTTGTCGCACTTGTTCCACTACATGATTTTTAATTGTGATGGAATAATATGATATTATGATAATATTTTATTTTGTTGTGTATTATGATAAAATTTTATTTTGTGTGTATAAGCAACAAGAAAAGATTGTGAAGTTTGTGTGACACATAACACCTGCCAATTTCGCTACATGAGAGTCACAATAAGAGATTTTGTCATTCATCTCACCCACTCTTCGCTCTTCACTCTTCGCTTATTGTGTCTCTCACAAAGCTAAATTTTCAGGTTTTATGTGTCAAACACAAACTTTACAATCTTTTCTTGTTACTTGCACATACAAAATATCATTATAATATATTATTATTCCATAATTTGATGAAACATTTTTTTAGAGTTGGTTGGAAATGCTATCTAACATGAAGCTTTTTAATGTGATAATTTATTGGTCTTAGAATTAGATAATTTCGTTACATTACGGTAGTATGAAAATTGAATAGAAGTTGAAAATGAGCGAAGGGCCATAAATGCGACAGTACAAGCACACTTTTTTGCGAGTGTACCCCATTAGGCATAAATACGTTAGGCATACGGACGTTAGGCATACGGACGTTAGGCATACGGACGTTAGGCATACGGACGTTAGGCATACGGACGTTAGGCATACGGACGTTAGGCATACGGACGTTAGGCATACGGACGTTAGGCATACGGACGTTAGGCATACGGACGTTAGGCATACGGACGTTAGGCATACGGACGTTAGGCATACGGACGTTAGGCATACGGACGTTAGGCATACGGACGTTAGGCATACGGACGTTAGGCATACGGATTATAGGCATACGGACGTTAGGCATAAAGTCATTAGGCATAATGAAAGTTAGGCATAATATACGTTAGGCATAGAATACCTTACTGCTGTGCAACTCTAGAAACCTGTTTCGAGCATGGTAAACAATGCTTAAATTAGGCTAAGCGTTGAATAAAAAATGATACAAGTTAACTATGATAGTTTATTCAATAAGCACAGTTTGGAATCCATTATTTATCATATCATAAGTGACGTAGCTACATATTTACTTAGATCCAAGATTAGTAGCGATAGTGGTTAAGTAATCTGGCAATGAAAACTCACCATAGTTTTGAACTATATCTTGAAATCAATCGCATCTAGAAATTAAAAAATTACACATTTGTTGTAATATATTCGTACACACATATTGTAATTGTCAAAGAAGAAAAAGTTTTCCTCAAAAAATAGCTCATGAAATAAAGAATGGTGAATTCTGTGATTTTTCATTCAATAACAAAAAAACAGCTAAGGTTGAATAAAATATGATGCCAAAGAACAGCTCATGAAATGAAGAATGGTGAATTATGTGGCTTTTCATTCAAAAACAAAAAAAAACATACCGGCTGCTTCCAGGATTTCCTGCCATACTTTTCGATACAACGATTCTGTTTTTGTTGTCATCAGAATGATAACTAGCGGAACCGTTTGCTGATGTGAGGGAGCGAAACTTCCATGAACAATGACGAGTTGCCGAAACAAACAAGGAACTGTGGTAAACGTACCATCTGTAACCCAATACTTTGCCTGTCCAAGACGTTGCAAGATTTCATGAGTTCCAAAAATTAAGGCTCTTTCATTATTGTCACCGAAGTCAGCAATCAATAAACGGTTTCCATTATTATCCTTCTGGAATTCATCGGGTAGATTATGCCTAACGTCCATTATGCCTAAGGCTCTTATGCCCAACGTCCATTATGCCTATCGTACATTATGCCTAACGTCCGTATGCCTAACGACCGTATGCCTAGCGTCGTGTACCCCTTGTTTGTCTAACCCGTGTACTCCTTTTTTGCCTAGCCCGTACGCGGAGTTTTTGAAGTATGTCTTCAGATTTCTCATTCTCTAGCTATTAAATTATCACACTAAAAATTTTCATGATTCAGAAATTTACACTTCTTTATCGAGCTGTGAAAAATTTTCTAGGGTCAAACCCGCCTGAAAATTAAAGCCTCAGTACTATCGCGTAACGTGGGTAGATCACCTTTTCGTGGTACGTTACGGGATGTAAGATCTACCACCGATTCCTAGTCCTGACTACTTCAAACTAGGGGAACAGGATTTTTTAGTAATCCAAGGAACACATCTTAGTCCTTGTTACTTTTTATGCCTTGTTTAATAGTGACAAGACTCGGCTTTGTCTACCGAGGATGATCTTGAAACAAGGAAACAAAATAAGTTAGTTGTCTTCATCTATGTGATTCCTAATCTTCTATTCGTTGTTCCCTAGTTTGAAGTGGTTAAGACTAGGCTTCTGATGCATGGTCATTATCGGTGTCATACCTTAATTTTGTTGCTAAGGAACCCAATTTTGACTGACAAAGGGGCGTGCCTTTGGAGGGTGTTTCAACACTCCGAAGGGTATAAATAGCGGGACCTTTCAATTAGAGTAGGATCCTTGCGATAAATGCAAGAGTGGCAACTGTAAAAAAATCGAATACTTCATCATTTCTCAATAGTGATTGAGTAATACGACATGCACTAAACTAAGGACACGGGATATACTACAATAGATCAATTTACTGGTCGCAGTAGTGTTAGGTCCCGCACAAAGGAAAAAAAAACTATCACGTAAATTGTATACAGTCAAATAATGATTGTTTTCATCCCATTTCCAGGACACACTTTTTACTAACTTGTCATTTTGAACTAGTGAACATACTTTAGCATTTTGTAAAAATTTACTTGAGATAGGTCTGTTTTGCTGGCATCAGGTGATTTGAATAATCTTACATGAACAAAATTACAAGTTTAAGATAGTTTGTATCAATTGTCCCAGAATTCCCTTTCATGACCCCGAGCAAGCGAGACCAATCAAAACAATGTGTTTGAATCCAATTTTCTATTCAAAACGATACATTTATATTTAAAAAACATGTGATGATCACTTGACAACAGTAAAATATGCTGTTTAAGTAATAATTGCACATAAAACATTTTTTATGACTCATTACTGCAAAGTGTCACTCTTCGACACTCTTTTGAGTTATTGCACTCAAAAGAGTATCGAAAAATTGTTTATGCAACTCTTTGCAAAATTTGAATTTTTCAACAACCGTCGTAATTTCCCAAATCGGCAAGTCTCGTTGGATAAACTACGACTCGTGTTGAAAAAACCGTCTTTTTACAACTTTCTGCATAAATAGCTATTTAACTGTGTAAAGTAATATATACCAAATAATTGTATACAAAAACAAACATTATGTATTACCTGAACTGTAAGAAGTATGTTTACAGAATTTTTCAGGACAGTAAACCTTCGCTTCATCATCAATTGAGTGGACTACAAAAATAAAGTAATGAATAAAACACATATTAACATATAGGGAAAATGGCTCTAATGTTGGCTTATAGATCTAAGATTGGGCCCATCGCTAAAAATCTGCTATTTATAAATTTTATCTAGATGAACGCATCATTGGGACGGTATTAATGAATAGTTTTGGTCGTAATTGAAAATTTAGCCGATTGCCGAATTTAAGTATGGACCCAAATTAGAGGCATGTAGGCCGACATTACATCCATTTCCCCTATGTATAATAGAATGTTTCAGCGTTAAATGAAAAAAAGAGTCAAAGTCTGGAATTTCAAATGCTACCCCCTGGAATGGTAGTTTGAAGGGGTCAGAAACACCATGCCAAAGTTTGAAGTAATTTGTTTCACGGGAACCCCTCGCTCAAAGGGCTTGAAGTTTGTATGGGAAAAATCGACAAACTGTAGGGAACGACCCACTTCACTACAAAACGGTTCTTTTCAGGACCATCATACATTATTGTTGTTGTTTAAGAGTTAATTTTCATTGAACGTTCGCTCGCCTTGCTGCCAGTCACATCACCCCCAAAGCTCTTTGGTAATGTACCCAGCAACCAAACGTTTGTGGTCAAATGCGTCAAGTATTGAAGTCATCCCACTGCTACCTAGCAAGAAGTACAGTCGACTTGTTTCGCGCTCCGGTATTTCGGAAGTTTTCTCGGTATTCGGTTGGTTTAAATTATCAGTTTTTTCTCGCTTAGTGATTACTGTACCCGGCTAAACAATTATCTGAAAGTGCGTTTTTCTGAGAAGAAAGTGTGGTTTTCGGTGTCATCGGAAAGAAAATTGTTCACTTGCAATTGGATATTCGCAAACCAATTTGTGCTTCATCGGTGCGTGATCACGCATACCTGCACACAGATCATCGTCATCGAGTGTCAACATCTGCCTCCGCATTTATACCGGTCATCCATCATCGTGTGTCCAGCTGAGTGCCGAGCCTCATACAAGCACACCACTACAAAGATCGCCCGCACACGCGCATCGAAGGTCACCCACGCTGCGCGTCGCTCCGCTGCTGCTGTGTAATCACTCGGTGGTAGTAGTATAGCAGATAAGTTTTTTTTCCTGTTTCTTTCTCTCGCCCATCAGTTAAATTTAATTTTATGTTTCTGTGTTTGTAGTTTTTTTCTGTTTATTGTGTCTGTGTGGTTTTAAGCATCGTTTCAGTGGTAGAGCGTTTACCGCTCCCACTAGTACGGCAAAATGGACGTCTCGTCAGAAGACGATATGGACATTTTGTCGGAAGATGACACCAGTTTGCCACTCGAGGGCAAGAAAAGACGAAAACGTCCTGTCATTCATGGTTCGTCTCAGAAAAGCCCCCGATCGCGAGCCTATCCAGATGACTCGACTGGGCCATGGGTTGTCTACTTTCAGCCCAAAATCAAACCTTTGAACTTGATGCAAATTTCCACTGATCTGACGAAGCGATACTCGGCCGTGACCGAAATCACGAAGGTTAGGCATAATAAACTTCGTGTTGTAGTTTCT